TGGGTTTCAGATTGCTGACAGACTCGTCTTTTTAAAGAACTCTGGTCTTTTAGCTGAAGTCAAAATTCAGTAAGATTTGTTCTCCAAAGGCATGAGTCCATGGACAAGTCTGGGATATTGCCTTAACTGAGCCTTGTATCCCAGAAATCCATTATCCGAAGCACTGCCTTCAGTTGGCCCCGTGTTTCGGATACCCATCTTTAAGAAATAGAGAAATTGTTTATTCAGCTGAAGTCATACTTCAATTTCTGGGGGGGGGCAAAAGGCACTACCAGTGGAAGTTTATGTTCAGCAGAATTGAAGAAACAGTAAAGCATTCAAAGTAAGGCAAAACAGTTGAAGAAAGGAACGTCAGATTAATAATTCATGCTCAGAAATTGAGCTACAAGTTCAAATAAATTAAAAACTATATCGGCAGCCGCCCACAAGCGGAAAATAACAGCTGCCGAAATACGTACAGAAGCAAAAAATAAACTGTTTGTACGACAAGGCAAGCTGAAGCAAAAAAAAAAAGGCAAAAATTCAGAAAGCGGCAAGTCTAAAGTTGAGTGCATGATGAACCGCAAGATTCTGAAGACGACTGCCCGAGTTCCTATGCTTCAGCCCGAGGATCAGACTGATTAGCATTGCGGGGCCCCATGGTGGCCTCAGCTCCAGCAGCAGAAGAAGCAGGCTTTGCACTCTGCCGAGCCTCCCTTTCCCTTTGTTCAGCCTCCAACTCCTTTCTCTCAGCTTCTTCTTCGGCTTCCTCAACCTTAAGGATTTCAGCTTCGATTGGAGTCGCATATTTCATATGAGGGTCTTCGGGATCCTGGACCCATTCAGCACATTTGGACCAGTCCAACTTCGGCTCAGCATGTAGGCAGACTCTTTGGCACACTCTGAACCCGTTTCTGAAACCCATTTCATACTCTTCTTGGGTATAGATACGGACTTTGAGTAGAGCCTCAGCATCAACCAACTTCTTCTTTGTCTCCTCCAAGTCTTCCTTGGATTTCTTCAGCTCATCGGCGAGCTTGGAGGAGGAACCTTTCAGCTCGTTCAGCTCCTGCTGAACTCGGGAAACCTCTGTCTGAGCCTGGGTCAGTTCTTCTTTTTTGGCCATCAGCTGATCCTCAACTTCTTGGAGCTTAGCTCTCTGAGCTTCAGCAGCATTAGAAGCCTCTGAGAGTTGGACATTCCGGGTTTGGAGCATCTCTTCAGCGGCCATTCTACTGGCTTCAAGAGCTTCCAGCTTTTGCTGCACTTCAGCTTGTGCAGCAGCTCCTTCCTGGATTCGGCTCCCAATGGTAGCCTTGAACTTGGAGATGTCCACTCCCATGTGCTCTTGAAGGAATTTTTCCCCTTCCATCAGTGGGGGAAAAACTTCCTTCTCCATAGCATCGCAGAAGGTTTTAAGGGCTTCAGCAGCTCTCTTTTCATATTCTTCACCCTTCTGCTGCTTCTCTTCAGCTGCTGCTTGCTTCAGCTTAGCAAGCTTTAGCTCCTCCTCAGCTACCTTCTTATCATACTCGGCAGCATCTACCCTATCTTGTAGGGTATCTATCAGCTCTACAGTGAGAGTCTGATTGTGCACGAACTGGAAACAGGAGCACAAGTCAACCAAAAAAAAAAAATATATATATATATAATAACTGAACCTGAATTGAAGAGCTGAATTGAAAAAGAGATAAAGGCAAGGAGAATCACCTGCATCATCAGCAGTTGGTTAGACCTGGCTGGGTCTAGAACTGATCTGTTGGATTCGCCCATCCCAGCAGTGGCCTTTAGCGACCAGATTCTTGCCCTATCTACTTCGGACATGCCAGCAAAATCGCCGAAGTAGGCTGCAGCACCTTCTCGGTTCTGACCCCATATGAGGTCCCAGATGTGATCTGCGATTGGAATTCGGGGGGCCGAGAAACCCATTTCTCCAGACTGCAGCGTTTGGAAGGAAGGGAAGGATGAAGATGGAGCTTCTTGAATCTTGGATGGCTCGGCATCCCCCTTCTTCTCAGAAGAGTCAATTATTATGACTTCTTCTTCTTCAGGTGTGAGGACGAAGGCCTCAACCTCTCTTGCAATGTCTGCCGTGAAACCCTCAGCACTGGGCATCACAGCATCCTCATTTCTGTGCTCAACAGCACTCTCTTGAACTTCCTCTTGGACCCCTCCCTTAAGTTCGGGAGTTTTCGGATCCACCTCCATCTCAGGAGGTGGCGGAGGGGTCTTTGGAGGTGATTGAGGTGGCGGCCGGGGAACCCTCGGCGATCCATTGCCTTCCTCGGGTTCCCTTATCTCGACGCCGATGGTCATCGGCCTCCGCTGAAAGTCATGCGGGCCGATGATGGCCATTCTTCGTCGCCTTTTCTGAAGCGACTGCTCATCCATGTCTAAGTCTGAAGACTCTTCTTGTGCCTGGTCTTCGGGACGAACAGGGGCTTTCCCTTCTCTATGTCTATTACTCTCTTCGGACTGTAAAAGACAGGGGGGAGGAAGAATGTGAGTAAAAAAAAAAAAAAAAAAAACACAGACAAAACTAAGTCTAAAAGCTCACCGAGGTCTTCAGCAAAGCCTCGTCTTCTTTAGCTGCCCTAGCTGCAGCTTCTTCTTCAGCAGCCCTGGAGGACCCTTCTCTTCCTTCACAAGCTTCAATAACCCGTGCAACCTCTTCGGCCGTACGTGCAGCTTCAGCTTCTTCTTCTAGCAGCTGAAACCAGGGATCTCTCTTCTTCCACCAAGGCTTCTGCCTCTGATACAGAGCAACAGCCTCAATTTGGAAATGGAAAGAGTCTAGATGGACTTCCCTATGCCTCGGTTCAGTGATAGAGGGGGCCCGATCAGTTACAACTTGTTCTCGGTTGACGCCAAGACGAGCGTAGTTAATGCCGACGTTGGTCTCGTCCCGCTCTGAAAAAGAGGAGGGAAAAGGTCAGTTCAGTTAGGTTGGCACAGCACAAAAGAGCGAAGTGAAAACGGAGGAAAAAAGAGATAATTAAAAGGCCTCGGCCCCAGCCGAAGAAGCTTACCATCCCTAAACTTTCGGCTGAGGCCGACAGCTGCTAACATGTTCTCTTGGAAGACATAATGCGTATCGGGGAGCCAAGTCTCCGGGATATGCTGCATTCGACCGCTGCCCCCCCGGTTCGGCAGCTTGCCGAAGATGTTCTGTTGATTAAGGTTCGGATCTGGGCTGTTATCTTCGGGGGGACCTAAACTTCCCATGTCGGGATTAGGCTCAGCAAGATACCTGGGAGCGCTGAAGACACAAGGGTGGCCCGGGTCCGTGGGCGCCCTAACCCAAATCCATTGACCTCTCCAGTCCTTGTCTGAAGAGTCGTTCGGCCACATGGTTAGGTACTGGGGCCGAGACTCAATCCGGTACCACCCAGAACCGTGACTTCCGTGCCCACTTTGAATATTTAGCACTAGCCGATGGAGCTTTTTGAAGTAGTGCAGGTTCGGCACATACCTGAAGAACTTGCAGACCCATAAGTATGTCATCACCCTTCGGATGCTAATGGGAGTTAGCTGACATAGGGAAATATTATAATGGATCAGCAAGTCTCGGACGAATACGTCCAAAGGGAACCTCAGCCCATACTGAAGTTGTCTTGTGTACACCCCCACATACCCCGGGGGTGGACGATGGATTCTATCGGATGCCACGGGCATTCGGCACCAATACCCATCAGCTTTAAGGATGCCGTAATGCAACTCAATCTGTTCGGCAAACCGATACTGTTCAGCATTCTCCACCCACCATGAGTAGGGGCGGTTCTTTATCATGGCCGAAGCTACTTCAGCATCCTCCCACTCCGAAAACCCAGGAAGGATGTCCCAAAGGATAGCGGGAACTTCATCGTCCCGCCCAGAAGCGCTCGGCCCCTCCGTTCTCTGAGGAGGAGCCGAAGAAATGGGAGTCGCCCTAATCCCTTCAGCAGGGTCAGGCTCCGCTCTCTGTCCATTCCAGGTCCCAATCCTGTTCCTGTGATCGGGAATTGGCCTTGCTCTTCTTGGAGCACGGGCTCTACCTCTAACTCCTCTCACCATGGATGAGTTTCGAAGAAAAAAGTCGAAAAAAGGGGAAGGAGTTCAAATTCAGAAAAAAAAACTAAAATCAAAGGAATTTACCTTAATCTGAAGCGAAAGTTGCCGATTTACGAATTGGTAGTGACGAGTCTCAGTTTCTAAGCTTAATGCTCGGGGAATTTGCGAAGTTTTGACGCGGGTTCTTGGGCTCTCTCGAGAATTCTGGGTTTGTGTTGGTGAATAAGTGAGGAGAGATGACGCGCCTCTAATTATATCTCCAGAAATGGGAATTCTGGGAGTCCGCGTTTCAATTTCTCTTAAACATCCCACTAAGTAACCGTTAAACACACGACATTGCGATTAAACCGCCCATTATCCGTCCAACTTCCACAATTATTCGCCTTAATTGTTGTTATCTCATTAATTACGGTTTAAATTCAAATTTCTTGGATTAATTAAATCATTCACTTCCCTCCTTTTCTGATTAATCAAACCCGACCCGTCATCCTGCCAAATCGGGTCTGGGGGGCAAGTTGTTTGGGTCCAATTTAGTCCAATTGGGCCTAGTCATTAAATGATCCAATTTAAAGCCCAAGGTCAAGGTTCAACTCTCCAATTGTGCTAAAGTCAAAGATCAGTCCTCAAGGCAAGTCAATTGGGCTAAGGCCTAACTTCTCCATATATGCAAAGGTATAAAAGCCATCAATATTACATTTGTACATTCATTCAAAAAAAAAGCCTCAAGCAATTAATTCAATTAATTCTCTTGCATAGCATTCTCTTTCTATACACTGTACTGACTTTAGCATCGGAGGAGCCTTCCTCGGCAACACCCCCGAGGCTAGTTTACGTGTGTTTACTGTGCAGGAAACCTTCGGCCCAACATCACTTGGACCGAATCCAGTCTTCTCCACTTCATCGGACCTTCGACAAGGTCCCATTGTTTTCACCCGAGGCAGTATTGATTACCAACAAAAATCGGTTACAACTTTGGTGGTAAAGTAATAAGCTCCTTGAAAATTTCTACCAAAAAAATAATACAACTCTTTAAATTATTCAGAAGCGGTACAATATAATGAATTCAATATTTTATAGAAAAAAAAAATTAAGACTATTTAGGGGCAAGAAGCAATGAGAAGGATAGTAATAGATCAATAGGATATGTCCTTTTTTCTTGTCCGGTTGCTCTTTTCTCACTTTGCTGCAGGATCAAAGCCACAGAGCGAGGAGGAAGATATCAGCTACAGTATCACCGATTTGGCTATATCAACACTGAGTCAAAATCTCGGCTCCGTCTTTTGTAATTAAAATTGTGTGCTCAAACTGTGCTGAGAGGCTTCCATCTTCAGTGACCACCGTCCAGTTATCGTCCCACATAATTGGATTATAACTACCCATTGTAAGCATAGGTTCTGAAATAAAACACAACGCATGAAAAATTGAACGATGAAGGTTCAACTTCACTAAGAAAACTTCGAAGGGAGGAAAACTTAATTGAAGTACAAAGACAAATATGATCAACTAGTGCACCGAGCAACCAACAGTTCTTATTCAAACCAAAATGAGATGGTTATACCAGTATTCAAGCATTCTACTTTGGGATAAGCCATTGGGTCATTCCACCTTGACTAGTACAAGTTTTCATGTCCAGGCCTGGTGTGCCTATAATCCTAGACAAGTATCCCAAAAGGCCCAATTAACCATGTTAGGCCTTCCGGAACTCTTCATGCTAAAGCTGGTTTTGCCATGACCCACCCGCAGGCTTAACCAATGATCTGGTCCCAGGCCAGGGCCATTAACCAGGCTTGGGCTAGCCCAGTCTATCTATTTATATCTGTGAAATTGCAAGTAAATTTGCAAGAGCAATGAGAAAGTACCGATAGTGAAAGTTTGGTTCAATATCATGCGCCCTCCATCATTGTTCCCTGCAGTATAAAAAAGATATCACTTCTTCCCATTGTTAAATGTTAATCCAAAGAATAATCCCTCAAAAGCTGAAAAGTACAATGATAGGAGTTCAAGATGATTACTGCAGTGCAAAACAACAGGATCAGCATGGAAAACACGACCAACACCATGGCCAACAAACTGGCGTACAACACCATATCCATATTTATCTGCATGGTCACTACAGTGAAAAGATGCCAATTTGAGAAATCTAGATACACATTTGCATTATGAAAAGATCAAAACTTTTGACAGGTCCATATTAGCTTCTGACCTCAAAAGACAGATCCATAACAGGAGAAACTCGTAGTTCATCAAGCAAACTTTTCTTACTTAAATTTTTTCCCCATGCATTGGAATGAGGACTAGGAAAGCAAATTAGCAACTTCTGCCTAAGTAAACATAACTTAAGATGCATGATGGAACATGGTAATTTTGACAAGAAATAAGTCTTACTGTATTGTTCTGCCAATTTTTTTGTACTCGACTCCTGGTCCACATATTGCAATTGCCTTGTCCAAGCATTCTTTGGTTACCTAAAAAATGGGCAATATTAATATTAATCAAGTGTTGCAAGTTAGTCCATAAACCAGCTTTGTTAGAATGGCATAGAATTCAGAAATCTATGCTCAGATGCTACCTGAACCAAATTTTTTGCTTCATCATCAACCTCCCCACAGAAGAAGGTAGCTGAGGTATCACCATGATAACCCTGTTTGACCAAGAGCAAAAATTAAATTAAAATATATGATATTGCAGTGGATATATAATCCTCAACCATTGCACAGCCATACTCAAATATTTGTGCCAATAGGCATAAACAGATCTGAAATATCATAGAAATCCAAAAAAAAAAAAAAAAAAAAAAAAAAACAAAAAAAAAAAAAGAAGAAGAAGAAGAATTAAAGTCACAAAAGAAAAAATTTGTTGCGAATGGCATAGAATATGTAAGAATTACACGTTCCTATTACTCATTAGCATGCCCCCCAACCTCCTGTAAGATTTTCAGAAAAGGAAGCTTTGCTATAACCTATAAGGCATGCTGTAATATACTAAATGAAATCTACCATATAAAAGAGCAGGTAGCCTTAGCATGTGACACAATTAACAGAAAAACCATTCTGCAGTTCCATGAATTTTAGTTTTATGTTAAAATAAACAACAGTATGTTATTAGCTAGAAGAATAAAAGAGAAGTACTAGGTTGCTTACATTCAGGTATGCCGTAACATCAATGTTAATTATATCACCATCCTGAAAAATGCACATTTGTCACTACTTGATATAAGGAAAAAGGTGTGGACAATGTTTATAGAATCTCATACTGAACAAACCTCAAGTGGCCTTGAATCTGGTATACCATGGCAAATACATTCATTAACTGATGTGCAGACACTTTTAGGAAATCCGCCATAACCAAGAGGTGAAGGATACCCTCCATTGTCAATAATCATTTGATGAACTGCTTCATCAATTTCATCAGTTTTCACGCCTGGCTGTGGATAAGAATTATAAGTACCATGCATTGGGGAGCAATCATCTAGAAAACAGATTCACCCACACGATATTAGCAAAGTTCAGAGAAGGCATATTTTGTAAGTAACATGCACCAACGCTGTAGTTACTATCTTTTTAAATCCATAGAATAACCCGGTAACATGAGTTATCATCTTATATTTCTTCGTTTACTTTGGAAGGGAGGGTGACAGGAATGTCTAAAAGAGGATCTGAGAGAGACGGAAGTCGGGGCAGGAACAGATACTCAGATAGAGAGAGTGCATGCATGAGCACCTTTAAGTCCTACACATAAATATCAATCACTTGGTGAGATAAGAGCACATCATTAATCAATTATTAGATATGACTCCTCCCCCTTTTTTTTGTTTTTTTCCCGGCTCACCACGCCTATCAGGTCTCTATAGAATGAATCTTGGAGAGAAAACTGCCAGTTTAAAAAGTCCAATTCGGCCAAGATATGTTGCAGCTAATCAGGAAAGACAGAGAAGATAATAAGCTTAAGTGCCTAACACAATCCTTTGATTGTGATAAAATATAATCCGCCCACAAAGTTTCACAGGAATCAGAAGAGTACGCACTACGCAGACAGAAGAAAAAGTAACACTAGAATTTAAAAGACCAAAAGCCTTGCATTAATACCTTGACTAAAGTGCCCGCGTATTCAAGAACTTCAGCTGCCAATCTCCCAGAGGCTCTCATACATTCTATCCCCCTCTCATCATGCACCTCAGGTCCACTTGCTATTCCCGGAGGACTCCCAGTTTTTACATATGGTGGTCTCTTTATATGAGATGGAACAGGTCTAGGAGGAGACACCTTACCAGGCCTCAAAGGTTTACGTTCTCTTGTTGACACTTGCTCGAGATTTCTGTAAGTGTACCGGTGAAATAGTCACCATCAATCAATCAAAGCCTTAATCCCATAAGTGGGGTCGGTGAAATAGTCAGCCCAAAATTAAAAAAAAAAAAAAAAAAACATTTGCATGGGCACATGGAAAGAAATAGAGAGAAGGAAGCACACCTTCTGTTGAATAAGAGATTGGTCAAGCCAGAGAGAGATTTTGGCAACTGCATAGAGACATGTTTTCTTCCTACAAAAAATAAGTTTCCAATAAGATAAAGATCCAAGACCAATTGCAATATAATCCAGCAAGTACCATCATGGCACTATGGCAGTATCTACTATCTAGGGAATTAAGCAAGGGCCTAAATATTTATGTATTGCTATTTTCACAGAATGTAACAAGATACCTAACTCCACCCCACCCCCCACTCCCCCCCAAAACCCAAAAAAAAAAACACTGAATGCTACACTCCTTTCAGGCTTTCACTCATGTGCAATGAAAAGAAGTATTATACGAGTATGTGTGAATTTTATTAAGGCTGTACAAATAGAACTTGAAGATCACTTGAGACACCTTCTTCCACATTTCATTTGCGCCTAGGCTTGTTCGCAAGATCTCTATTGAGGACCACAAAGAATGGTACAGCTTCTCATCAAATAAAAATCTTGCAATCACGAAAATCCTCTCTTCTACTAAATTCTACAGCACAAAACATATGAAGCTGCTACATTCCCAAGCTAAAGTTACAACACTAGCTTCCAAACACTTGACCTTAATAAATTCCAATCACAACGGTAACTAAACTTCTAATAGAAACTATCCTACCTCACTAGTCATTAACAATAATGATATAGAATCATTCAAAACCCAAGCATCTAAGGATATTGTCCACTCAGCTCGAGACACGACATGTTCCTCCCAAACATTAGGACTTATACCTGATACTCAACAAACTAGGGTCAAACTCACTAAGACCACATCCCCAAACTCACAAATTGCCACATCTCAAGATATACTCCAAAGTCTACACACAACTAACAAAATACAATGTCAGATTTTAACAATCTATAACGCTTCATTTGCCATTTATAATCAAACATTGCAAAATTATATCAAAAATAGTAAAATTAATTCAGCAATCATATTTATACAATATATGCATCAACAATTGAGCACAAATAGTTAAATAAATCAAATCAAATATTCAAAATTAAAGTTGAATATGAGAATTAAAGTGGTCAATCAGTAATTAGGTTTAGCAGGGTACAATGGAAGCGAAAGACAAAGAGTAGGAGAGAGAGAAAGAGGGACCTGGAGAAGAGCGGAAGAGGTGGTGAAGAGGATGTTGAGAAGGGTGGAGTAAACGGTCGCCGCCGATGAAAGAGGAGAGAAGGCGTGACTGTAAACTTATGCTCCCCGCCATTTTCTCTCTCTTTCACACTCTCGTTATCTCCTCTTGCTGAAATGAGAGATTAAGGTTGGATTCATTTTTATTTCCACCCATTTTTTGCAAATTCAGTCCGGGAAAATTATAAAATACGGAGTACATCCTTTACTATTAGCCCGTTATATGAACTAGGGGTGATAGTTCGGTTTTCGGTTTGGTTTATGGCCCAAACCGAAACCGAACCACTCTAATTCGGTTTCGCGATTTTAGAAACCAAACCACACCACTTTACTTTAGAAACCGAACCAAACCAAACCGAATAAATTTCGGTTTCAAAACAAAAAACCAAACCACACCGAATTGTTTTTGGGCCTTGTTTTTTTGGGCTTTATTCTGCTATTTTTGATATCTTAAAGCCTTAAACAGCAAGGAGCATGTAAATAGAGCATGTAATACATTAATAGCAAGGGCTTAAACAGCATAATAAATTAATAGCAACCTGAACATGTAAATAAAGCAAGGCAGACAGGCAGTAGGCCTATTAGCAATGCATGTCAAGTTGTCAACAACTCAACATCACAACATTCACAAGTCACAACAATACAACATTAAAAGTTCTAATTCAAAGTTCTAACTTCTAAGAATTCAACACTTCATCCAAAAAAAAAAAAAAAAGTGTTCAACATTACAACTACAGCAGTAGCATAACAATATCAGCAGCAACATCATAAGATTCAGCAGCAGCATAGAGGGAAAATCAGCAGCAGCAGCATAGAGGGAAAGTCGGCAGGCAGCAGCATAAAGGGAAGGCAGCAGGCAGCAGCAAGTTAGCACAGCAACAGCAAATTAGCAAAGAGCCCACATCAGTCTATTATTTGCACTTCATCAATATCAGCATCACTAATTGCCATATTCTTCAAATCTATCATAATTCATAACAAAAATAACCAAGTTAATATATATATATACATAAATGAAAATATGTAAATTTTGATTAGATATTCTTATATATTACCTTCTTCAAGCAGCTCAACTTCCTCTAAACATTCTTCAATACTTGGAAATGGTGAAGCACGTAACCAATTTTGAGCACAAACAAGACCTTCTACAACTCGGGGAGTTAATGAGCTCCTAAACTGATCTAGAACTCTGCCACCAGTGCTGAATGCACTCTCAGAAGCTACTGTCGAAATAGGGACAGCTAGAACATCACGGGCAATTCTCCCCACGGTAGGAAACCTTGAACAATTGAACATTGGTTGTGGTATGTCAACCCACTAGTACTACCACTTGGTACTTTAGCACTTTTGAATGAAAACAAACTTTGTTTTGAATCTTTAGGGGTGTTTAAGGGATACTTACGACATCGCGAAATATGAGCCCATAACACACTGGTGCCGTTTTTCTTTGCCCCACACTTGTAACTCATTCCACAATACTTGCAAATTGCCTGCCTTCCAGAAGCCAAATCTTCTTTAATAAAGTGCTCCCAAACTTCAGAGCGCTCTTTCATCCTCTTCCTTTTTGCTCCCTGTTCTTTATTATGATTTTTGGAGACTTGGTCAGTCTCATGTTCAGACTGAGGTTGGTCAGGAGCACCACCCACATTGGTTGCCATTGGCCTAGGACATAAATAAAACCAAATTAATAGAGCAGAATGCACAATGCACAATGCATCAGAACAACATCACAAGTTCACAACAACACAGCAACAAAAGTTCACAACACATGCATCCATGTAGTCTTAACCATTTCTTTGAAAATACAGTTACATTTCTTTGAAAATGTACACTGTAAATAGCTATGAAACTAATACAGAGTGTATCTGCAACTACTTAGGCCTAGTGTAGCATGTAGGCTGTAACAAAGTATTTCGCAAATAAAACATAAACGAACATTGCCTCACAAACAACATCACAATTCACAAGTTCACAATCAACAATCGAGTGTATATTCACCCAAAGATACTAGAGAATTCAAGGGAAGGAACAGCCGAACATATCTGAATTTTTTATTAAATTGTACATGTAAATTGTAATTTTATCATGATTCAAACTCATCTTTAATAATCATTTTCGTAATTAACACTACTCATAATTAAAACCTTAAGAAATTAACTTTCATTTTCCAGATTTGAACCAAGTAAATGCTTAATCGCAAATATGAAAAATTACCTTTGGACGGCAGGACGGTGGAGGAATGGACGGTGGATGCTGGACGCCTGGACGGTGAACGGTGGTGGAATGGACGGTGGAATGGATGAGAGTTTGAGACTTAGGGTAAGAGGCTGAGAGCGTGGGGGATTCAGACTTTCAGAGGAAAACGCAAATAGATTAGGTTTTTTTTTGGGTTTATATACTTAGGGTAAATTGGGCCTAATATTTCGGTTTTTTTCGGTTTTATTCGTTTTTCGGTTTTTAATTTTCTCAGACCGAAACCGAACCGAAAACCGATTTTTTTTTTAACAAACCAAACCGAACCACTTTAGGAAAAAAAACCGAACCATATTTCTTATTCGGTTTGGTTTTCGGTTCGTTTTGGTTTTAAACCGAATTTGTTTCACCCCTAATATGAACAGATGGTTTTTAGGAACAAAGTAACCTCTACAATACCGATAAACCTCTGTAATACTGATCGACTAAGCCATATAACAACGATTGTGTAACCCTTATATCATTGGTGGAGTAACTCCTATAACACTTACCGATTAACCTCTATAACACTAACGAAATAACTCTCATGATAGCTGGCCGATGTGGTCAGCCACATATAAAATATGTGGGTTAGATGATGTGTTTCAAATACTTTTTACTACGAGATAAAATAATATTATTACTGTGTGACAAATAAGCTTAGTTTGAGATATAATCAAGCACATTAAGATTATACAAAGTATAGCCTTAGGCTTGTTCAACTATAAGATTTTAGGTAAGCATCATAAGTTTAAAATTATTGTGTTGTTTTCTTATTTTATTTGTAAATGGGTTATTCCAACCATGATATTGTTTTTAATTAATAAGCGCTAAACATGGTTATTTTTTTTTTTTTTTAATAACTTAAGCTAAAGATATTTGTACAAATGAAATCGACTTAAGAATTGTGTGTTTGCGCTGGGTCATTTGGCTTGAGTACGTCATACCCTCATATCCTTTCGATCGTCCATTTATGTTAGGTCAATTCGGGTTGTTCAATATGTAAGAACTTTATGTGTAGCAATAAAAAATTTGTTTCGGTAATATTACTACTCTAGATGTTGTCTATTTCCTAGAAGATCATGTTGTTTATTATATACCGAGTTTGTGTCAAGCGATTCACCATTATCCTCTCATGGATGAATAGAGAAACAAGTCCAAAGAGGTATGAATTTACGCTCATTATTGGTGCAAAGAAGAAGTGGTGAAATCCTATTACAATTGATTTTATTGTGAAAGCTTTTACATCAAAATGTGCATTTTATGAAGCATTTTAATTTTGGACTTTAAATATTTGATATTATGTTAATATTTTAATTTTTAGAACAATTCGTGATTAGATTTTGTTAAAACCAGTACTTGAGCACAAGTGCTATTAATAATACAAGCCATTAAAGTTGTTGACACATTTTGGTATGTTCATATTCATAGAGCAATTGTATGAACAAAACAAATTTGCTCATTTGTACTAATGACTTGAGCAAAAGTTATGACTATTGTTTCTAAATCTAAGGAGAAAAGTGTGTGATTATTTTTTAGAAAATTACAGTATATATATATGAATGATGGACAAATTTGATAAAAACACTCGTCAAATTTAAACCAAACAAATTGAGAAATGGGCACATTCGATTTTTGCTCATATGATTATATGCTAAAGAAGGTTGTTTCTACTCATTTGAACACAATTTTCTTACAGCTTACTGACAAATATTTGTTATCAACAGTGTGATTCTTATTTGTATGTGAATAAATACAAAGTAGATGATTACATGATAAAAACAAGGATCAATAATAATAGTCCGTATTATTGTGGTACACCCTTGTTATTTTATAATCAACAGACATCTTCGGACCCGTATTCTGAAAAGCAAACAAGGGCTCACAACCTTTACTGTTTTACCCAAGTCAACAACTTTTTTTCTGAAACCTGAAAAGCAACAACACAACCCAAATAATGCAGGCCTATGGCCCAGCTTCTAGTAGCAGTCCCCATTGCCAAAGGTTTTGTATCTACCAGGCCCCTTGCCCATCCGCTTCGCGCCCAAAAAAAAAAATAATAAAAAAAATAAATAATAATAAAAATAAATAAATATTAATGTCCGCCATCACAAGTTTGGATTCTGTAAGGGAGTTGTTCCCACTTAATCAATTGTATAGGGTATGTTGATCCAGCAAATAACAAATGAGAACATGGTTCAGTTGATCTCCCTCGACGGCTTAATTCTGAAGTAGTCGTAATTTAGATGGCTTTAAAAGTTAAAAGTTTTGTTCATTATCAAAACGGGGTTTATGTAGCCCTAAGGGCTATATACAAGCATTAAATACACTCTTAAAAATTGTATAAAATTAGGAATTTATGACAAAAACACGCGTAAATCAGTGTAATTAGTGTTTATATTTTTATGATTTCCTAACTTTATACGATTTTCTAATGTGTATTTAATGCTTATATGTATAACATAAAAATAAAAATCATATTGAGGACCTTCTATGGTCGAATAGTATTGCAATAAATTAATGTCTTAATTACGATAGTAAAAAATACATTAACTTAATAATATTTATGAGATGTACTAGGAACTTGGATTCAATAAAGAGCATATATGTCAATTAATTTTACTATATAAGAGCAACTCCAATGGTTGTAGTTAGGGACTTGCTTGCAATTTTATATTATCCCTAGCTACTAGCTTGACCATATGAGCTACAAAATGCAATTAGCTTGGCCAAGCTAATTTGCTTGAAAAAATACTTGCCAAAAAAGAATAAATAAAATTAAATATAAAGAAGCTAATTAATTGATTGAGGTTTATTTAAATAGCAAGCTAATAGCTAGCCATTAGAGCTCAATATAGCTACAATGACAATTAGTTTAAAAGCTTATATGACATGACGAGTTAATTTAATAATTAGTTTGTCATTGGAGTT